TGATTATGTTGAAATGTGCTTCAGACATGATGGTTGGGAAGAAGTATTAATTGAGGTTAACTGAGGAACATCAATCAGAGAGAAAAAAGTCTAAATAAATATGAATGGTTTTAAAGTTGTACTTAATGATACGTCTGTGGGACAGGTAGGAATAATTTAAAATTTTATTTGTAAAGAAATTCATTACGAGTTAATGTTATAGAAATATTTGGCTAGTGCTCTGACTCTTCGCCAGCCTGAAAAGCAACCAGGGGCTGTTCTTTTTGTCTCCAGTGAGCGATGAATACGTACGAGCTTAACCGAGGGCAAAATACAGATACTGAATGTAGGCTTTCTGTCATCTGCTAAGACCTGAGTTTAAAAACAGGACGATGTAATGAGAGAAAATATGTTGGTGGTCTGCACATGAAAAAACACAGACATACCCCTTCAACAACCCAGCACACTTACAAAAACCTCCCCGACCTTCTTCTAATTGGACGAAGGGTGAAGGGAGAGAATGGATGGGGGCCTCCAGAATGGGGTTGAGAGGCATAGGAGGCATAAATGTAACCTTTATTTTTTCCTCTGGAGAGATTCCCAAGACACAGTGGGAAGGATTGTTTCTTTGGCTCTGCAAACAAAAAAGCCTCAGTTTTACATTTCTGGTGTTATTGTTCTGCAGGAACGAGCAGGCCTAACCTCAGACGAGAACAAACGGAGAGTTTTCTGTAGTCCGACAACACTGTGCTGCTATGTTAACGTTAAATTATAAAACACGACTGTGAGTCTTCATTGCTATGGAGAGTTGTAGGTTCAAGACGATTTAACCGTGTTTTCATTAACAGAGCGAGACCAATGATTACAAGAGGTCTGTGGAAGTTTTCCTTTTATTTCGAATTTTCATTTATGTAAATGTGTTAAATGACTAAAAACACGATTCTATGCTAATTTTGTTTTCTTCAAATTTACTGAAAATAACTTGAAATTAGTCTGAGAGAAACTTTTAGGAGGAGTTTGTTGAAGCGTGTTTGGGTGAAAGCTGCAGTCGACTAATTAGTTGGTGAAAAAACAGGACACTGGCTGGTAGCCCTAAAGGTTATTGTTTGGAGTTCACAGGAAAACAAAAGCGAACCAGATGTGGAAACGAACGCTGTAGTCAACTGTTTCCCTTTGTTGTGTAGATTTTAGTCAGAAAATGCAGAAACTCACATTTGTGAGAACTGAAACGAACGGACACCATTATCCCGGAGAACCCACAATGTCGGAGAACGTAGGAACGTAGGAGCATGGTTGTGGTTAGCACTGCTGCCTCACAGCAAGAAGATCCTGACTCCGCCATCTGCTCGGGCCTTTGTTCATTTCATTGTTTTAGATTTTGTAAAAAGGAAAAAAAGGCATTTTTTTCCTACGGTTTCTGATATCTTATAGTACAAAATTAATCAAAGGTTTGCTTATATAAATAGCTGCACAGCCCTAATAAAATGTCCTTTAAACCAATTACACTGCAACACGTTAGTCCACTTTGTTGCTTCACAGCTTTTGTTCGCTCCAGTCGAAGGATGAGTGGGAATCAGCAAGCATCACAGCAGGCGCGTGTAGAGGAGGTATGACAGTCATGAGATTTATCATAACTTAATTTATAGCAACATGTATGGAAGAAAAAAAACACACTTGTCTTTGTCTGCAGCCGTATACATAATATATATCAACATTTGAACCACACGTTTCACAAATTTCAAGATATTTCACAACAACAGCACCAAAGAGCTTTTGATTGAATCCTCAACCCTGCTAATACATTCATTCATTCATTATTTTCCAGATATACTAATAATCTATTAATTACAGAAGTAAATAATTTACAATAAAATAACAACTTTAAGGTACATTTTGCATTTCCAGTACTTGAGTACTACAATAATTTCATTCAGTCTCCACAAGAATCGTCGGCCTTAATCTTTTCTGAAGGCTGTGGATTTAAGAAATTTTGCACAGGAAAGGTCTTAATGATTGAAAAAGCTGTTACCTTGTAGCGCTCAACAAAGCAAACAGTTTCAGCTGAAAAGCCTTTTCTCCCTTTCAGCAGCTCGTACCTGTGCTGAGCTCCAGCACGCGATAGAAAGTGTTCAGCAAAACCTGGAGAACTCGAAGTGGAATCACACACACACATTTATCTGTGTGTGTGTCGACATTGTTCTGTTTTGGTTTGGTTCAAAGATAACACAGATTTACAAAAGATGCTCTTATGAAACATCTGCATATGAAGCTGTGATCTGAGGTTTGACTCGACCTCTTCTTTAATCCGATTTCAGGAAACCGGCCTTGCTAAGGTAAATTTAAAAGCGCTGAATTATCGGATGACACAAACTGCTGCTCTGTCGTCTCATGTTGTTTGTCTATATCTACGCACTGCTCTGACACGCACCTACCTCACAATCAAAGAACACAGTTCAACAACGTCACCATAACTTTACAGTCCTCGTCACCAGTCGTCAGCGCCCTGCTGCAGACTTTCGTATATAGTTGGTTTTTGGACTAAATATTTGTTTATTAACAGAAAGACATCTGTCAGTGTATATCTCTCTAATTCTCTTTTATAAAGTCCTTTATGAACTTCTTGTGCAAAATCTCCCCACTGCCACCTTTTCTTTGTTAACACGAGCTTATGTTTGCTTCCTTGTACAAGGCGCCCGATGCGCAACTGGAATACATGAACTGCTACGAAACATGACACAGACAGATGAAGAGACAGCTCGAAACCAGAAAATGACAATAACAGCCAAGAAAAGAACCGTGTGTCCTGAGGAAGCAGGACTCCGTCTATGTAAAAACATTATTCCAGGATTTTCTTGTCCATGGACTCTTTGCCATTGGTCCGCGAGTAAGGCTCAAAGGCAGAGGAGCTCAGGTAGCGTGCAGAAAGTTCCTGCAGGTTTCCAGCCAGGGAGCCCGCCATGGAGAGGGGGTTGGAGGAAATGCGGGTGGCGACGCCACTGAGTAAGGAGGGCATGGGGAAGCTGAAAAGGCTGTGAGCTGCCGGTGAGCTTTGCAAGCTCGCCACTGTCCCTGAGCTGGTGACGGCGGGCAGCGGGGGGCTGCCGCCTGCCGTGCCGGTGCTTCCTCCGCTACTGCTGCTGCTACTGCTGCCGTTGCTGGCCATGGCCATGGAGGGCGGCCGCAGGGCAGCGCCCAGAGTGCCGCCGCCGCAATGAGGCAGGAGGCCCGGCAGGCCGGGAGGCGTCAGCAGCCGGCCCTGCTCCAGCAGTCTGAGGACGCTGCAGGTGGCTGCTGTTTCTGAAACCACCGAACGCAGCTCAGAGTCCTTCCCCTGGTCCTTCTTCTGCTTAGTGCGGCGGTTCTGGAACCAGACTTTCACCTAGAAACACAAGAGAGCCTCCTGAGACAACAGTCACTGCAGTTCCTCTGTGGCTGTTATACTGGAGCTCACACATCCTGTGGATGAGTATATAAATGTTGTGTGCTGGTATAAAATGAAAGAAGACGAATATTCACTGATATCTGCTGCTCCAAGTATAAAACAGCTCGTCTGCACAGATTACTGCTGCCTCCCCTTCCCCCGTGCAGACGCGGCGTGCTGTTAGAGCCGTGCTAAAGTGTAACAGCCATGTAAGTGCAGACGTTTTAATAAGCACAGACAATAATACGTGTAGGCTGACCACAGAATACAGTCGTGCAGACGAACCGACAAACCACACACGACAGCAGAGCCATCGGTAAACACAAACATGGGAACCATTATGTTTGATTGCTGCGCTGTTATTTATTGGAAAATTAAATGATCCACAACGATTAATAACCAGCTGCTCAATTCTGAGCATGACTCGTCAGCATTTGTGTTTTTTAAATAGCCTCCTATTAACATTAAAATCTCGACATATTTCTATGGAAACAAAAGCCTGAAATTCACAGTAAACCTGCTCCATGTTTGTATGCTCTGCATCTTCACTCAGAGTGGGGATCATTAATGACTTCAGTGACTTCTTTAATTACCAACACAGGATTCACCGAAACTTCATTAAATATCCTCAGACAAATCTTACATGTAATATTTGACATCGACACTTTTTGCCCCTTAAAAATAAAATGTGATGAACAGAAAATGTTCAACTTAATTTGAATTAAATAAATGAGTCGTAATAAAATATATTTCTAACATTTTAGAGATTTATTGAAAACTGTGAAAGTGAAATCTTATTCCCACGCCTGAGGATATTACTGCTGTAACTGGTTAAACCAGCATCCATTTTTAATTCAGTTTGATTTATGATTTATTAAATAAAATGTTTATTTAATAATTAAATATTTATGTTGTTATTTATTTATGTATTTATATTTACCTCGAGGTGCTTAATATCGGCTCGGTGTTCACAGTAAATTACGCCTTTCGTCAGAAACAGTCCATTTATTATATTTACATTTCTTTTATTCATCATTTTATTTAATAGTTCTGTTTTAATAAGCGGTATAATTTAAAATATGAAATGTCGCTGACACACGAGACTATTTTAGTAAGGAACAAAATATACACGTACCAATCAGCAGCAGTCCTGTGAACACTTTCCCTCCTCGCTACAGTCTGTGGGTCAACTCTGCTCTATCCAATAATCTCCGTCCACAACATACAGACTAAAACGAACAAGGTGGTGTCCTGAGTGGACTCAGTACAAAGTTGATGATGTGAAACTGCAGCTTCAGCCTGCTGCACACAGCCGAGGCTCCAACTGTTTACACTTCACTAGTTTTCTGTTGGATGTTTAAATGAGAAAATGAACAGTTGTGCTCGTGTTGCTCTAATGAAAATGTAAAACATTTAAAACGTTAACACACAGCTAGGTTTAAATATGCACAGCTGTTGCTGTTAGTTGTGTCTTATTACGACCTCTGGCCTTTTCTCAAGGTCAAGTTCATTCAGCTGTGGCAAAAACCACATTAACACAAACTGAGGTCCCGACAGCAGCAGTGTGAAAAAGAGACGAGCCACAGCAGCTGAAACAGGCGATCAGTGGAGCGGCTCGCTGTGGAATCTGGTACAAAGAGCAAACCAGTTCACCCACTGACCCTGTGCTGACCCCACACGTCCAGCCTCTGAGCTTTCCTGTGGCCAGCACGTCTCAGTCACACAGTAAACACATGATCGCTTTATTTCAATTTCATTTTTATTAGAAGCTCAAATCAAATATTTTTGGGGTCTAAAACAGTAAGTTACAGCTGCTGAGATTTTTAATGGTTTCTGTGGGTGGAAGATTTACATACAGCATGAAAATTGTGTAATTATGTGTAAAAATAATCCTTAAAACACAAAAAAATCCAACTTAAATAAACAGTAAATGGCTCTGAGTCATAATTAATGTTATAATTTCACGTGCTTGAAGATTAAATTAATTTAATTATGTGTTACATCCACCTTCCTACGTCTAAAACACTGAAACAGCTGATGGTCGGTGCATAGAGACTCTGTTTAAACCCACGGCGGTGTTGCTGAGCATACCTGAGTTTCAGAGAGGTTGAGCTGACGGGCCAGTTCTGTGCGCTCCCTTCCAACCACGTACTGACACCTCTGAAACTCCATCTCCAAACGGTAGAGCTGCTCTGCAGTGAAGGAGGTGCGCGTACGCTTCGGCCGGTCCAGGTCCAAACCTTTGGGCAGGATGATTTCTCTTATGGAGCCTTTAGCATCTGCAACCAGCAGCAAAACCATTCAAACCACAGAGGCAGCATCACAGGACACAACATCAGCTCAGTTATTAATATAATTAGATTTATTATTGCTAGAATCATATTTCATAAAGTAGTGGAGGAACATTCGCAGTAACACTGACGTACACATGATTTCTTCTCATCAGTGTGAAATGCTTTGCAGAAAACTGAACATTTAATTAAGTTTAAGTGAAGATTATAATAAAAACATTAAATCAAAGTGAGGATATTTATTAGCTGCACAGAAGACAAATGAATAAAATATATCTTTACTTATGTTTTCTATTATTTCAGATGATGCTGTGAAAAAACCAACGAATAATTATTGTATAATTTTATTAAATATTAGAGTAAAATATTTTAATTGAAAATGAGCTTTTTAAACATTTATTAAACACGTGGTTTATATTATATTTATTATGTGTTTTCAAACCCTCGTGATGGGTGAACGCACAGCGACACTCTTAGCTGTTCACTCTCATGCATTTAATGCGACGCGTCATTTGTTGATGTTAAACAGCAATAATAACAAAGTGTGTGCGTATTTTCCCTCTGATTAATCATCTTTATAATAATAATAAAATATAGGGGATTTACCAGGTGAGGCACATTTAAATCTGCTTATTTTAACATCGTTGCAATAATTAATCATAAAATATTAATTCTAAACGTTTTGTCTTAAAAAGCATGAGCATGTAACACAGCAGGTAATTCAGTTCTCCTACATTTTTAATCCTGGAGCAATAAAATAAGTGAGTTTATGAAACTATATTTTAAAAAGAAAAACCTCCTGGTGTTAACCGTAAAGTTCAGTGCTCCCGACCTACACAGGCTGATGGTTAGCGTCCTCTTCATGAACTAAACGACCACGCTGTGACATTACGGAGCTTGTTTTACAACTTTTTTCAAGATAATCTCATATTTTAAATTTGTCAAAGGCATCTGAGTGCGACAGACTGATAACGGCTTAAAAAACAAGGGACAAACATTACCTCGAACAAGTATTCTCCGACAGTAGTCCGGGTCTGCTGTGCTCCCCCTGCTCTTGTCACAAGTGTCCACGGTCCCGGAGGGGGGAAAGGAGTCCTGCTGGTCCTTGAGGAAGCTTTTGGTCAGGCTGCCCTGGGAGTCCTTGCCATCTTTCCCCTCCTTTAGTCCATTCTTCAGCACCATCCCTTCAGTCTCTTGGTTGTATCTGACCTCCATGCTCAGTTTATCCTCTTAGAGCCGCCGCTCGTCCTCTGGTTTTCCTTTGTCAGGTGGAAAAAGGAGATTATGGAGAATGCAGCTCACCAGCCTGTCCGGACACTCTGGGTTTTAGTTTCAAAACAGCACCTTTCAGCAGTGCAGAGTCAGCTATCTAATGTTTGGAGAAATACTTCCGCCGCCGCCAGACCAAGGAGTCCTATTATCACTGACCAAACTCCCTTGCCCAATGATCATGGACTTCTCAGTAAATCTCAATAGTAATTCAATGCCCCCCTTTCCTCGTTACACAGCCATCAGGCTGATAGATGATCTCCAAATAATCAGAGCCATGGATGCGCACTCGCTGTTTCAATTGATTACGGTAATTTTGCTGCCTCCACATTTGCGTAACCTCATGAATACACAAAATTGTTTGGGGAAATAGATCAGGTCTTGATAGAGGGGTTTGTTCGTTCCGTCCCCCTCAGTTTGCCCGCTCTCAGTGCAGGGTATCAAGACAAATGATTGGTCTCGTCTCGCAACCAAGCCTCCCGCACACAACCGCAGAGGTACGAGTCGACCGGAGCCCAAAAAAGTTCCCGGACGCGCCGTTCTTCCGGCGCCAGAACGCGGCTGGTTATTTTGTCCCACTGACTTTCTACAGCGCAGCTTGTTGTTGCAGCCTGTCAGTGAACTTTGATCTCATTGTTCCCTTTGGCTTTCTCTCCAATCAGTGGAATTCTGCAGATCTTGTCACTACGCTGTTGTAGGCAAGAGGAGCTGGGAGTGAGCCAGAGAGGGAGTGTGAGAGCGATAGCTAACAAAGGGTAATGAAAAAATCCACACATAGCAAAATTTATGAAGGCAACGATGACTTGCTGGATCACCACAACAATGCTGGGCTCCTCTTAAATGAGAATTGTGTTTCCTGTGTCATCATGAGAAAACCCAGCGAGCTCCCGGACGCTAAAATCCTTCAGTATTCAAATGATTGCACCCTAAAAGCCATCTTCAGCTCTCGCAATCTTAACCTGCATATGTGAAGGAGACAAAAAAGGGGAACAAAACTTGTCATTAGTGCTTCGGCTGCCTACACTCGCTCTCATACCCCTGAAATGGCCCCTACCTCTCTCCACCACTCGCCTTCCAACCCACTACCCACCCACCCAGCCACCAACTCTTTGCTGTTTTCATTGTCAGTGAAACAATATCTCTGAACACAGCAGTGGCCAGTAATCCAATAAGACCATTGATTAGGCCACAAAGATTCAATTCAAACCAGCGGGCCAGTGCAAGGAACATTCTCTGGCCCTTCTTGTCACCTTAGCTGGCCAGAAGCCCTCTTCAGCCTGCCCCCCTCCCTGAGTGCCATTCATGCCTTTATGGGAAACAGAGAGGAAAAGGAGTGAAAGATGGCAATTATCTAATTGGACTATTAACACACAATTCTGTGAGTGTGGCTGCCCGCAGCAGTCTCAGGGTGGGTTTAGGGCCGCATGTTGGACTAACTTTATTCACACAGTGTTTAGGGGATTCAGTGTGAAACAGGGAAGGATCCATTGTTTGGCAAAGGTAAAAGGAGGATGAAAAGGGAGCGACTAAAGGGGACCTGGGTTTTGCAAGCTGGGTTGCAGAACTACAGCCTGGGAAATTGATTGAGGATGCATGGGCTTGGCCTCTCAGCTTCACACAATGGCTAAGAGGGGAGTTTTACACATTCTCAAAAATAGCAACTGTTCAGCGTCCAAAAAGCCCGAGAAAGCAGGTAACGCATGTAGCACAGCACATTGTGCAGTAGTCAGTCAACAAGACTGTGTTTTAAATGATGTAAGTAATTAATAATAATTTGCAGGCCTGCAAAATCTGAACATTTTCATTTGTAGATCTTTTCCTTCAAAAGTCTTTTATTAGTAGATCGAGGCTTTAAAAGCAACGCAGCAGCAGATAATCAGCACAAATGTTTCGGTGCTATTACGAGCAGTTCCCAGGTTTAAAGCGTTGCATTTGTTGACAGAATAAACAGTGATTACACCGAATGTGACGTTAAACTTTCCAACTGTTACACCTCAAAAAAGGGTTCATCGGGTGGAAGTGGGAATAAAAACATCCATCCCTAAAATTAAAAGAGATACTGAGACCCCATCCAGGGTCCGGGCTCGTGGGGCCCCCTCACTCCACTGGCGTGCACGGGAAGCCACACATTAATTAATGGTTGCAGCGTTCAAGGCCGCAGCACATTGAGGAGCAATGACACAACGCGCTTCCCTCTGATTGGGCTGGACCAGCTAAAGAAGCCAAACCTCCCCCCCCCCCTCACACAGGAACAGCTAACCCCTTGCTATCTGTCAACGTTCCTGGCGGCACAACTCAGCCGGGAATGATGAACACGCCTATGCCACGCAACGTCCTGCAGCTCACACACACACACACTAAATGCCCACTGCTCATCCATAATCAAGACCTGTAGTTATTAGCTACACAGAAAGCCGCACTCGATGGCTGTAGCTCAGGCGGTAGAGCAGGTTATCTACTGATCGGAAGGTTGGTGGTTCGATTCCTGGCTTCCCCTAGTCTGCATGCCAAATATCCTTGGGCAAGATACAAACCCCAAATTGCTCTCCAATGCATCCATCAGAGTATGAGTGTGTGAATGTTAGCTATGAAGCACTTAGAAAGATGTGCTGGTGTGAATGGGTGAATGCACACGTTGTGTAAAGTGCTTTGAGTGCTCAGATGAGTAGAAAAGCGCTATATAAGAACCAGTCCATTAGATATCAATCATTAGCCCTGGACCAAAGTATCCCAACGATGGTGAGTCAGGCTTCATCCCGGTCACATTACCTCTTTACAAGTTACTACATCTGATCATCCTGAGATGAAATAGGAGACCTCTGATGACACGAGGAGTTTCCAGTGGCAACAGCTGAACTGCTTCATGCAGGTCTTTTTTCTTTGCGGTGGTCCACCTTCAGGACCTTGGGTCAGCTGCTGCCACAGAAGATATACATGGCTTAATCTGAATGGGCCACACATTCAGGGCCTCCATACAGAGGCATTAACCTGAGTAACACAGCTTTTTGTACCCAGACCAGTTCTCCTTCAGAATAAAATTAGTCCTCATAAAGACTTTTCTGTTGGACATGTCTAACCAAAGGCTCATCGTTTAAGTGACTCCAGTTCACACAAAGCAAGAACACAGTTATATTTAAGGTACCTGGCTTACAAATATGTGAACGTTTGTTCCTTAAACAGAGTCAAATCAAAATTTCAGCCTTGATCTGAATGGATACTGCAAACAACACTAAAACAACACTTAGCTTCATGATCAGATGATATACCTGATATATCAGATGATATACCTGTTCTTGTAGTGGTGGCTACAAGGCAGCAAGCAGAGGCCTTATGGGAAGAACAACCTGCACCGCTTTTAACCTGTTCCTTCACCAGCCTGGCCAGTGAAGTCTATCTTTTACCTTTCAGTGCAACTTCTAAATACCTAAATGGTATTCATTCACCAAAACACCTGTATTTGGGCTGCTGGGTCAGAATGGGGTGTGGCAGCACGGTGGCGTGGCACAGTCACCTCACAGCAAAAAGGTCGTGTGTTTGACTCAGGGGCGATTCTAGGATCAGAGCTTTGGGGGTGCTGAGCACCCAGAGAGCTGCCCATCCAGGCAAGATAAACTTTACTCGTCACGATGAGACGTCTTCCCCGTCTCTGTCAGTCCCTGCATCCTTAAATGTCTCCAGTTGTCCCGAGTTCTCTCTGAATGTCTCCTTGGTGCATTTAAACCCCTGTTCCTCCCTGTCCTCATCGTCTGTTATCTTCATCTCTGTTATCAGTCATCATAATTTTACCCTCTCTGTGCAAGTCTGCAAATTTCTTTATTAAATCATAAGATTCTTAAATTCATCAAGTCTCTCTGTGCCTGGGTCACAAAGCATGACATCATTGTTTTGTACATTTTAACAATTTAATCCCACATTTGTGAAAGAAAAGAAAAACACTTTTGTCTGTAACAAAACCATCAAATCTGATCAAGGTTATTTAAATGCTGCAAAAGAAGAATGGATTGGAATAAAAATACATATCCTAACCTTAATTACTGGGAGAATAATGAATGATGCTCATAGTGAGTGAAAAGTAAACTGAGTGCATTTTTTGGATACATACAAAAACACTCCCAAAACAGAATAAATTATTATAAATAAATTATTACAAATAAATAATTACAAATAAATTATTACAAAATATTAATTATAAAAATTATAAAGATGGAGGCAACTCTGCCTGTGGTAGAATGTATAAAATGTATGAAAACATCTTTACTGCAGATTCTAATTTTACTAATTTAATAATACTAATTTTGTGTTGTGAGATTTATGACTTTCATGCTTTCATAGTGGTCCTTAGGAGAGCTTGACATTTTATCAGGTGGTACACACTGTAAAAAGTGAGAAACACTGATAAGTGTATGTGTGCTTTTGGAGAACATTTAAAGCTGCTGTACAGAATCTTTGAAACAAGCTTAAAACATGTTTAGAAACAGAGCATCTGCTTCTCTTTACAGCTCCTCACTCCACCAGGCTGTTTGACACTGACAGTGTGCAAATGTGACGTACGTACTGCAGCAGTCATACAGACAACTGGACCAAAGGTTGGCC